CCGACGATCATGCCGTGCTGAGCACGCTGCGAGAAATTCTTGTTCCGCGGGTCTCTCTATACACAGTACACGGGGAGCCAAAAACGACGATCTCGCCTAGTGCCGGTGCCTGCTTCGTTAGTATCTTCAGCGGCGAAGCTCTGCCCGGGTTCGAGTTAGTCGGCAACCTGTTCAGAATGTAGGCCGCGTACTGTACAGCATCCCCCCAAAAGTTTAATGGCAGTCCACAGGCGAAGATCATGCACCGTGCCATGCTCAATATGGTCCGATGCATGCGCTCAGCCTTCCCGTTGCTGGCTTGATTTCTGGCCTCGCTCCGCTGACGCACTACCCCGGTCTTCTTGCAGAATAAGTCTACGTTTTGGTACTCTCCACCCGAGTCCGTCCTCAGTACATGAATCCTGCAGTCGAAACGCTTCTCAAAGAACGTGAGGAAGTGTTCGAACTGCTTGGCAGCAGCATCTTTCGTTCGCGCCAGGAACATTCTGCAGTAATTGCTCTTATGATCGACGAAGTTTATCATGTAGCGATTATTGAGACGATCTCGCGGCGTCATCGGACCCTTCAAGTCCGAGCAGATTACTCCACCAACACGATCGATCGGCGAGTGGTCCCCAGTATCTTTCTGCGACTGCCGGTTCTTCGTCTGTTTCCCCTGCGCGCAGGTTAAGCAGTTGACGCGGCGGTGGTCCGTGATGACGATGCCCGAGCTCGGGTCCCGTGCAAGTTTCTCAACCGCGTCGTAGCTTAAGTGTCCAAACCTCTTGTGGAACTCCACCAACGTGTCCTTCTGCACGTCATCCGACCCCATTTCGGCCTCAGCCTCAGCCTGATCAAGAGCCGCCATGATTACTCCCGATGGGGCTCCTCCTTTCCGCTCTACGACGGCAGGCACGACTAGCACGCCATGCCGCAGATCCACGTCAAATGCTACTCGCCCTCCGTCTATACCGGCAACGACGCGTCGTCCGTTTCTGTATGTCAGCGTATACCCCCTTCTTGTCAAGTTCGCCGTAGGAGATCAAGTTGTGCACAACGTTCTAGGCGTAATACACGTCCATGAGCTTCACGATCTGCTCCGTCCCGCTCGCCATGACGCGCAGCGTGAGAGTTCCTTTCTTACTGATCTTGAGTGGATTTCCGTCTGGCTGTACACACTCATCCAAGTACTTCTCGACGTCATCCAGCCACGACGCATCGCTCACGAAGTGCCGACTGGACCCGCTGTCCAAGATCCACATCACGTCGGACTCGACCGACGTCTCTCCTACAGACAGCGTGAGGTCGGGCTTCCTGCCGCCCCCTCGCGTCCGTTCAGGACATGCTGCGCGCAGATGTCCGACTTTCCCGCACTCATGGCAGGTGCGTGTCTCCTTGCCGCGGCGCTCAGCCACACGGCGCCCACGACTTCTCTGCCGAGATTCTTGTGCTTGGCAGGTTCTAATTCCCAGGCTTGCGCGAAGTGCGCCAGCTCCTCAGCCTGCTGCAAGTAGTCCGCTCTTGTCCCATCTACTTTGGCCATTAGCACTGTACGCAAGTCCGCGGACGCGTACTGCACGATGTTGTTCAACACAAGGTAGTCTGCCCCGCCACCGCATGCCTCTGATACGGCGACCAAGTACATATAGTGTTCGGGCCACGATCTCTTGCCTTCCTTCGGCGCAGTGAGCAACTTCATTGCTTGCGCGGGGGTGATGTTGGTCTTGAACGTCTCGAGCATCCTCTCCATGACGTATTGCAGTGTGGGCAGTTGTGTCCACCAGGCATCTACTTGCTTGTTATAGTACCTTTCTGCAGTCCCCGCTAGGTAATGCCCCAGCAGATCCACCTTCACATCTTCCGGCCACGCGAACCCACATGCCGACTGCGCCAACGCAACTTGTCTCTCGAAGCGTCGACCTCACTTGAGGAATCCAGATTCGAGTCCCACGTACAACTCTTTTCCGTCGAATGGCCGAATCGCTAGCTTCTTCTGTCGCGCGTCCGGGTAGCGGACTCCTTGGTTCTGCTGCTGGAAATGCTCGCCTCCAGCCTGTGCCCGACCATCTCGTGGTGGCGCTGGTGCTGGCGCTGGTGCTGCCGGCTGCGCTCCGTGCGCTGCGGCGTACAGGCGCTGTAACTCAGACATTGGCATGCCGTAGCCAGGTTGCTGGTGTCCGAAGTACTGTGGTGCAGCAGCTGGCCTACGCGGCGTCATTGTGAGTGGCGTCTGTGGCGACCCACCTAACGAGTCGATATGCATTCTTGTCCCGCGGCCGAGTCCAGACGCAAACAGACTGGAGTTCATGGGTGGTGTCGAAGGGCGATTCGGGCGCGCACGCCTTGCATCTTGATCGTCCAACTGCTTCTCAAGCTTCTCATGCGACTCTTTCAGTTTGGTCTGCGACTCCTCAAGCCGCTCCAGCTGTCCCGCTACGCCCCGCAAGAGCGTCATCAGCTCTGCGGCGGTTCCCCCGGTCGCCGGCGCATTAGCGTCGGCGTTGTTGCCGCTACCCCTTTCGTGGGCCACGGCGGTGCTCATCTCTTCTGTGTCGTCGGGCCATGCCGGTCCTTTCGCGACTGGCAACGGGCACTGCCGACGTCGGCGCTGGCGCGCCATCGCCGATGGCCTCATCTGTGGCTCTGGTCATTTGGGCTCAAGACCTGTTGAAGCCCTGTCCTCGGACGGGCTCGCACTTGTAGTTAACCACGCAAAAGAGAGAGTGAGATTAGATTCCTTATCCTACTAACCTATGTCTTGCCTTTCAGGTGATTACGCTACTCGGCGCCTATCGTCCGCAGATCTCTGGTCCGGACCTTCCCTACTTCAACAGTTTCTTATGATCCAGCTGAACGCTGTTCATACCAGCATCATGATGTAGTTCATGATGTGCTTCACTAAACTCCGTCGGAGCACACTCCATGTGTGTTGGCTGCGGGTTGTAGGAGCTATTAGAAGATGTGGCTCTACATACCACCAGCACAGTCCCTCATAGTTCTTCGAGCTGCGAATTGCCGATCGGCAAAAGAAATCAGTTGATCGCGGCAAAGTCCAACACTTGAAAAGATAGAAAGAGATAGCTGCAGTAATTTATTTTGTTTACTTCTTCTCTTTGGTGAGAAGCAACGGGTCGTCGTGCTGTTCTGGCTTAAAGTCGTAGTGTATTAAGCACACCTGCGAGTAATGCACACAAACGTTGAGTATTAATAATGCAACTATTCGCTAGTTAGACCATGGCAAATATACCACTTCGGGATCTCCTTTGGGTGCACCTTCAATCCCATACTCTGCCAAAGTCAGCATGTCGTGTCGTAACTCATTGGCCTCGGCGAAGTGTCCTTTGCAGATCTTGAGCTCCGTGATCGGGCCGTGTTGCTTTTGATGGAGCTACACAAGTAACGAGATGTTACTGAAAAGACATCATTATGTAAGCAGTCGCAGGGTTTAATATTTCACGGCAAACAATGGAGCTTGAGGTATTGACTAGCTTGGACATCAGCTATTAATAAATGACTGTGATGAAAGCTGACTTTGGAGAAAAGTAGTGACTAGTAGCATGTAGTGTTGGCTATGGGGAAGCTTTGCCAATTGAGAACTTCTTTTAATAAACACCGCCATCTCGGACGTGCATAAAGTGTAGCTGTGCTGATGTGGTATATTGTAGTACCATTGTGGCATTAATACGCGGGCAGCAAAGTCCAAACCTGACAACTCGATGTTTAAAATGAAAAATGCCTTGGGGTACACCACATTACCCCTATTTCTAATTTTGAAGCTCCCTAAACTCGAGCTTCATATTTTTTTCCCTGTAGCAGCAGGTCCCATTTTGTGGAGTCAGCTGACAGAGGTTCAACTCCAACAAGTTGATTTTCACGTCAGTGTTTCCCTTAATTTTCAACCAATCGGAGCAAAATGGCTACTGATAATTTAAAGAGTGATATAAAATATTTAAAGCCTAAATTAATAATTAGTGTTATTTCTGTCCAAAGAGCATCTTCCATTTACCGGTACTATAATACGTAGTACATTTTTGTAAAGAGAATGTTGTAGTACTACAGTAGTATAGAACCATGCTGGTGCTATTAACAGTCACCACATATTACTGTAGTATGCTCGCTCTGATTATGACCGCAAAATGATTACTATCGAAGGGATCATTGTTTTTTTTAGGAAACGAAAAGTGTTTTTGAGTGAAAAGCCTCCGTTAAAGTCCAAACAGTTATGCCACCAAAGAAGAAGACAAAGAGCAAGAAGAGCAAGGCCAGCTCTGGAGGAGCAGATGCTGCAGACTCTGCCGTTGAAGCTGCCTCTGTACGCCCAAAATTTATCACCCTATACCAACTTACGTGTGTAAACCTTTGTATCTCGAATAGATAATCGACAGCGCTCCACCCAGTACACTACGTGACACTCGATATGCGGGTAATCTCAATGCACAGTTAAACTGTGGTTATTCGTCGAGGACACTGACTTTTTTTTAAGCTAGCTACTCAACAGGAGCTATTTCAGCCTCAAGTTCCGCACAAAGACCTTCACTCGGTTGTTTGCCATCAAAGTAAGTGGAAGATTAAATACTGCGACTGCTTATATAATGATGTCTTTTCAGTAACATTTCGTTACTTGTGTGGCTCCAGCAACATATTCAAAAGCAACACGGCCTCTGCAAAAGACACTTCGCCGAGACCAATGAGCTACGACACGACATGATGACTTTGGCAGAGTATGATATTAAAGGTGCGCCCGAAGGAGATCCTGAAGTGGTGGGTTTGCCATAGTCTAACGTGAGAATAGTTGCATTATTAATACTCAACGTTTGTGTACATTACTCGCAGGTGTGCTTAATACACTACGATTTTAAGCCAGAGCACAACCCGTTGGTTCTCGCCACAGAGAAGAACTGAACTATCAGTGCAGCTATCTAGGTAACGGTAAGACGAAACAGGATAAGGACGAGGGCTATAAGCCTGTAGTGAGAAAGCCATCAAACAAAAAACAACTGCGGGCTGTCGGTGAGGTTAACTTTTCTTGTAAACGGACATTTATTGTTGCGAACTTAAGCAAGTAAGAGACATTAAGTTTGGTGAGTTGCTCACTGCAGGCTTACACTCCCTGCTTGTGGTTCTGCGATTGCTTCTGCTCGCCCTCGTTCTGAGACTCCTCTCCCTGCTTTTGGGACTTGTCATCACCCTCCTTCTTCTTGTCGCCGTCCTCTTTAGACTTCTCACCGTCTTTTTGCTTCGTCTCGTCACCGCCATCCTTCTTCTTGTCGTCGTCCTTCTTGGACTTTTCACCATCCTTCTGCTTTGACTTCTCACCGTCATTTTGCTTTGTCTTGTCACCGTCGTCCTTCTTGGACTTTTCACCGTCCTTCTTGGACTTTTCACCGTCCTTCTTGGACTTCTCACCGTCCTTCTTGGCCTTTTCCTCCTGCTTTTGCTTCTTCTTCTCCTCCTTTTCCTTTTTTTCCTTCTCCTTCTTCTCCTTCTTCTCTTTTTTCTCCTTCTCCTTCTTCTCCTTGTCCTCCTTCTTCTTACCGTCATCCTTCTTCTTGTCGTCGCCGTTGCTCTTTTTCTTGCCATCGTCCTGCTTTTCCTGCTTGCCATCGTTCTGGGACGTGCTGGGCGTGTTCTGGGACTGGTCGCCCTGCTGGCTGGAGCCACGGAGGCCACCGCCGGCACCAAGTTGGCGGCCGACCTGCAGCTCAGCCACGTTGTTGGTTAGACCCATAGAGGCACTGGCGGGGATAGCAGTCGAGGCGACGACCACGGCTGCGAAGGCAATGATGTACGAAAGCTTCATCGTGATTGGGTGAAGAGAGTGGAGTGTGCTTGGCTCGGCAAATTGCTGAATGAACTCTTTTCTCAGCTTGACAGTGAGCAAAGGTCACTTGCTTGCGTTTGGTGTTCGAACAGCGCACGATCCCATCTTCAATCCTCCTGTGTGCAGCGTTGTAGACACGACACCACAACTTTTGTACATGTAACATGCACAGGCATTGTCTGCATTCAGAAAACGTACAAATACCCTTTTGAAGTTCTCAAAACTATTCTTCAAAATGAAGGATTTTTTATATTAAAGTGGCTAGGGTAATACCTATTGATTTTTAAAATTATGCCCATTTGACGAAAAAGAGTGAATTTGAAATGGGGAGTGGCGATTGTAATGCTTTTTTTTAAGCTTTTTCATCCCAACCTTACGGACATGCCTGAACATGCAACCTCCGAAAAGTTCCTGTGGCCCAATACCGGTACTGTAGTTGGTTGTGACAACCAACCTGTTGACTTGTAAACAAGTTGGAAGTTTATCGCTAGATTCCGCAACGAAGGGCTATAGACTCCGCAACGAAGGGCTACGGCCAAACTTGACCCCACGCGAAGCTCGAAGGGTACCGAAAGCGAGCGCAGCGAGCATGCTTGCGGGTTGTAGACCGTGTGCGTAGCACGCTGGTGCAAACCCAGGACCGATAATGGCCATTACTATTACTATCAAGCGAGGCCCACACGCGGGCTTGCCTCCTCGTTGTGGGTTTAAATTCCACGGGAATAGTTAAATGCCTTACCGGTATCTTCTTTGGGCCACAACGTTTAGCCCTATTCTACATGTACTAGAAATTCTAGCTTAATACCTAAAGCGCTCTATCCTTGAGAGTTTGTTTTTGTTGGCAGATGGCATACCCAATTTCATGGGATCTGCTCATCTTTGTTACTTACAAGTCGAAGGGGACGAGATCAACAAGACGAAGGTGTTACGGAAACAAATGCGTAATCAGAGGTTGACAGCACTTAAGTACTGTTTTATATGAATCTCCTAACTGTACATACTTTACTATCGAGGGGTAAACTGCAGCAGCTAAAAATGTAAATTTTAAGTAGTACTGGAGCAGTAGTTTATAATAATTATGATATTTTATAATCATATCCAGCATCTGAGAATGAGCCAGCCACAAGCTAACTACCTACCATTTTCATTTTTTTCTCGCTGCGTCTGCAAACTCCAAACGCTCTGAGCTACTGCCCGAGTCAAAACAAGCTGGAGGCCGAGGCCAACAAACCGTGAGCGAACTTCTAAAGCGATGTACACATCGAGCACTTATGGCGCAGTCTTTGGAAAGAGTCGGCATGAGAACTGAATTATGCAATATCTGGGCATCATTGCAAGTTGTAATTTGCTACACCAACAAGTATGGAGCATTTCCACTAGCATACTGCGTACACTCGATCTATTTTAAAAGTATTCTTATTGATAAAGTGCTACCAGTATGCGGAGCGTCCGCATACTGGTAGACTCACTTCCGCAGCGGAAGAGATACCCTTTCCAGTAGCTCTTTTTTGGTATCAAGAATTACAATAGTAATACACTCCTGGACCCAATTATACGGCCACCCCGTCGACCCAGAAACAACTTGTTGACAGAAGGCGGTGCTCATGTATTAATACATATTACGTATCAAATATCGTCGATTCGACGTACAGAACTATTATATGAATCCCGTTAAACTTAGCAAAGATGAGCACCGCCTTCTGTCAACAAGTTGTTTCTGAGTCAGGTTACAAAGCTGTGAAGTCGTGACCACATTGTGGACTCCACAACGCTGCACGCAGGAGGATTGAAAATGGGATCGTGTGGTGTTCAAACACAGGCGCTACCCTTATTAAAATCCAGGACTATTATTAAAATAAAACCCTCCGAAGTCATAGCGCCGGAAACCAGAATTAAATTCCTACTACGTAGTATCTAAGTGTACAGTGGGTGAAGGTGCCCCAGCGAATTGGCACATTTATGGCCACCAAACCTCGGACGGACTTTGCGCTATAATTAAGGTGTTTTGCTGTTCTAAAACCTATATCGACATTTAGATACATATGGTAGCTCCTAAAGTAATTTCTTCTTCGTTTGGAGCGGATACGGTAATTTCTGGTTTGGTTGGCGCTTAACTGAGCTGTTTACAGCCAATTAGTGCTAGCAATAATCGCGATGTGCAAAACTCAAGGTATCCCTATTTGATGGACTTTAGTATGGGCTGTTGCACGAATGTTGATATAATAACTATAAGGAGCTTCGCTTTGTGGAATTTGTGGAAAATGCATCTACTCAATTTTTATTGGCTAGCGTAAATAATCCCTTGAGTGCAGTATTTTAAATACGCTCCTGACAAGCAAACTATGCAGACCAAGCAAGTAATTTATTGAAACGAGGAGCTGTAGATTCCAGAATAAGACTTAGGCCGTGTTTGTTGAGCACATAATACGTATTATCTTGCCCATAATACGAATTATGCGGAGCGAACGCGACCATTCATAATACGTATTATCTCTGCTTATATACGCTTTCTCAGAATAGTAATCTAAAGAAGGCACACTCAGGGATGCCGAAAAATCAAATTGGCGTCACATTTATTGCAATAATATATCACCAATAATTTATTAGAGAGATAAACCAATTATTTATTTTCGCGCACCAATAATCTATTGGGCAGTGTTCAATCAGCCATACCTTCTTTAGTACTTGTGCCCTCACTGTGTGCCTATATTGCTGCACCAATAATCTATTTTGCTCGTAGTCTTACCTCGTACGCTCTGTCCAGCGCCTCTTCGGGGTCTTCCTTCTTGTAGCTCACGCAGCGCACCGCCATGCTCACGACTTGGCCACAGGAGTGCCAAGACTACGAAAAACCCGCATCGCCAGCGCTAAGCTCTGGGTGCCATCAAAATCGTATTCCTGTAGAAGCTGATTATTTAGGGTCAAATGTGATATTTTGGCACGAACTAAACTAATTTAGCTTATTTTAACCACTAATATGATGAATATCATTAATAATTTGCACTGATTGGACGGATCTTTACCAAGTGCACTAAACTGATACCGTGCTATCAAGTGATTATTAATAATACGTTAAAATGGAATGTTCCGATACGATAATTAGGGTGGCCCCAAACAGAGCCCTCAGTTAGCACTTCACACAGCGCTACTGCCTAAGAAAGCAAATGCGACTCGCTGGTCATCGGTGTGGAAAATGGTACACAAGTATGTGTGCTTTCGCGACGCTGCGAAGCACGTTGCCGAGGTCGAAGAGCTGCTCCCCCGTCTGAGTGAGCATCGCCGGATTCGAGTGCTGCACGACAAGCTGAAGGAGCTCCAGAGCGTCAGCGAGAAGCTGCAGCATCACAGCGGAACGCTTGGTGAGGTCCGTGCTCTTTTTGACGCTTGCATGGCAAAGTACCCTGTCATGGAAGAGTATCTGAAGCCTACAGCCGAGATTGTTCATTCACCGGTCTTTGAAGCAGCGGTCATCAAGGTCACGAGTGCTCTTCCTGTATTCAGTGCAGAAGCCAAGGCGATCGAGGCGTTTCGGCGCCCAGAAAGACCTGGCCAGAGTGAAGATGAACCAGCCGCTGACTTTGCGAGTGAGATTCTGCGCCGTGCCAAGAAGCCACGTTACTCCCCGAGGCGTGCTGTCGACTACATTCCACTTCTCAGTGTCATCCCACCAACGAGGAACCGGTGTGAGCGGCTCTTCTCGGAGTGTAAGTAGGTGCTTGAGCCGCACCGTGCCTCCATGCGCTCAGCTAACTTCGAGAGATTGATGTTTCTTAAAGCTAACCGAGATCTCTGGAACGCGTCGACGCAAGTGCCGTGATAGCTCTTGTTCGCAAAAATACACTGAATATTGCGGCATTGCGGATTATTGTTTGTCTTCATACGCCACTATGTATTGCTGATGCCACAGCTGCCTGCGTATACTGCCTATTGTATTTTAGGAGGCCTGACTAAATTACCTTGCAATGAGCGTAGTCTAGCCGAACATCAGTTTAACAATGATGCCTAGACTACTGTTGAGCGTCGTCGCGGATTATCGGGCTAAAAGCAGCATGCATCGTGTTTATTGGGGAGATCACCAGCTGCGCGAGCGGCATAAATCACCCACACAGGCTGTTGTAGCGTCTATACTGCCGCCATTGTATACCTCATGTTGATCCCAGGAAAGAAAATGGCTCTTAGTGCTTGGAAAGTTGGTGCGTCTGACTTCTGTCCTTTTAAAACCTCTGTCCAACAGCTCGAAGTTATAAAAATACACCCCCACTTTGTCGTAGCAGCATTATGATACATCACAGAAAAGTGTAAGGATCTAGGATGCATCCGGATGAGAGTTATAGTTCTGACTTACGTTAGCATTACGAGCGATGACCGGGTCGGCAGAGCCTCTCGATGGCGCCTCCAATATTACAGTGTCACTACTACCAGCGTGCCGTCGTATCATTGGTCAAAAATGAAAGCGGTATTATTTCGGCTGGGTCCGAGTTCAATACAAACTTTCGTAGGACCCGAGCGGCGTTGTTTGGTTGGCGGAAGCTTGTCATCAGGCGTTGAATCATACAAATCAGATGCTCGTGATTGGACAAAAAGCGAACCATCGCCAAGTTGAATCTGTGACTGGCGCACCCAATAAGGGGTACATCAAGCTTCGTTGCCACGCTCTTGTTCGTGGCGCAGTTGTCAGCCACGACAAACTCGACCATCGTTAACGTCTTGCCGTACACATCTAGGATAGCGTCGATGAACTCGATGTGAGCGTCTGCCGATTGTCCGTCCTTCATTGGCAACTAGTCGTTCGCATAGACCATCACTACCGTGGTACACGACAAACACCGCAACAAAGTGACGCGTCCCAGAGCTCCATCCATCAAACATAACACCGAAACTCGCCAATCTCCTCGGCGATGGTGTTGCCGACACGCTCAGCGACTCGTTGCATGTAGGTCTTTAGCGTCTCCGCTAAAGAGGCTTCATGCGAACTAACTGTCTCGTTAGTGGGTTCTCAACCTCGCACAGAGG